TTCCCTACAACTTTTGATTTCCAAACAGCAAGGCGTGGGGATTCCATTTCTGATGTTCATGAATAATTTACTTACATAAATTTAGTCTCAAACAGTGGAACCAACTACTTGCAACTCTTCATTTTCACCTCTTTTCCACTTTCACTTAGTTCCACAACTGTTTCACCCTAACTGTGCTACTGCAGAGAGCAGCTGAGGACAGAAGTGTGATAGCATATACATTCTTACTGATGCACAAAATTCTACAAGTATCATGTACCACTAAGATGCATGCTACTGAAAGCTACCTGAGAAATAAACAAGTTCATGCCAGAGTTTGTGGGGAATAAATAAATAAATAAATCAAGACATGGATTATCTGCGCATGAAACTACAGTCAAGTCACTATTCAGAAACAAAAAAAATGTCCTTATTATTCTGTTCAGTTTCCTTAGATGATTAAAATACTTGTTATTTTTAGCTCTGGGTGGAGAATGACCTTGTCTGCTTAAACAAAAAACTGGGAATGAGGAGAATCAACTGAATTGCACTGAACACACGTTTACATGTATGCGCTGCATACATTTTGCTGTCAGAAGACTACTTATTTTAGAGCAACCATTTAAGGTGACTTTTACCTTCCAGTGAGAAGAAAGCAAGCACAGTCATTTATGCCTTCCTCCAACCCAGCTCTAGAATTAGGCGTATTACTTTCTGTACACAAAGGATAGCTTCCAGTATGTGCATAGCTTGTTTTACATTTAAAAAAAAAAAGAAAAAAGAGTACAAGACTCCATCGACAAGCTGAAGAATTAACTGATAGTCTAAAAACATTGTGTGCAATCAGGAGGTTTTTTGTTGAGGAAAAAGACCCAAGCAACTAAATTCAATTATACCAGACTCTTTAAGGAAGCTCTAGGTAATACAAAATATATTGTTCCCCATTTCACAGTACAATTATGGCTTAAGCGCAGATGGTAAGGGGAAGAAGAGTTGAACAATTGGTATCTTGTCCTCTGCAAAGGTTACACTACTTCAAACTAACTTAACTCAAGCTAGCACTGTCTGAAAATGCTTAAGTCTGAGTGAATTGATGAGAAGTGGCACCCTTAGAACATCTATCTGACATAAGTTTGATTTCAAACATTAAGCAGATGGAGACTTGTATGATAACATTCTGATTTTGGGACAGTAAAATTAATAAGGGTGTGAAGACTAGCCCAAAATTTCATTTGTTAAAACATTTCATTAAAAAAAAATCTGCCATTTCCATGTCATCTTAAGCAACTTAAAATAATTTCCTTTCCAGAGTAGTCATTATAATCAAGTTTTTGTATTTTTCCTAAATTAACCTGTTTTTCCTAGGAGCTGTATTTTGATAGACTTGCAAATGCCTGTTCAGCTACTGAATGAGACAGCAGTCTTTTGAAGCACATAAGCTTTGCATTCTCAAACCCGTTTTTTCCCTGTGAGCAGAACTAATGAAGCCCGATTTCCTATGGCTTTGCACCCACGTCCCTCGGTGACATTGTGACCAGGTTGCTCCCAGGCTCATCTATGACTTTCAGCAATACTTGCCCAGGACTCTCACCTGTAACATGCCATCACAGGCCAGCAGCCCCAGTACCTCCCTCCCCTGCTACAACTACAACACCTCAGAATTTCCCCATGTTCCCTCCTCTTCCCACGTCCTCCACACATAGGCAACAAGGGAACAGAGGCCCCAAGTGCCGTGGCAAGTTCAACACACATGTGTTGACTGACTAGATCAGAGGCCAAAGAGCACACAAACTTGCTGAGTTCAGGCAGCAGCCTTACTCTCAGACACGATGCTAAAACTACTGTCCTTTCTCTCCCTGCTCTCAGTTTTAAACTCAATTTACACAAATGTTATTATCAAAACCTCTATCTAACATTTGGTTTTTAAATTGTTTCCCCAATTCTGGGAAGTGGGATGGACAAATACAGAGTATATAAACATTTTTCATTAGCAAATTCAGCTACCAAATTAGAATTACAATAGACTAGCACAAGGATTGCTTTTCATCTGAGACAAAAACCTGTCATACCTGGGTGCTAATTTGTCAAACTCCTTTGTAAAGACAAACTCTACCCAGAAGTAGAGACTTACACAATTTACAAACAGATAAAAGTGAAACAATTTCTGCTAAGCATACATTACCAATAAAATGACAGAGACAAATGGCAGAGAGACCCACTTAGCACCTATGCTTTGCCACAATGAGTTAGCAAAAAATTGTTTTTAATGGGAGTACTTGAGCTGAAGTATCCACTTTTTTTAATCAAAACTTTGTAGAAAGAGTGAGCATTCAAAATTGTTGGATAAAAAAACCAAGCACATAAATTGAAATGTATACATTTCTATACTCGAATAGAAGACAGTGAAAACATTTGTCAAGTTGAGTAAAGAAAAAGGTAGTCTGAACCAAAGTATGTGCAACTGTTGCACAAAACCAGGACAAATACTTAGAACAGTCAAATAACTGATTTTAACATAACTACAGGTGCAAAAGTCACAGCCTCCGTGCAAAGGTCATCTTTAAATGTAGTTATGGACAAAAATTACTCCACACAAAAAGCCAAGCTGAGATTTACATGTTTAAACTGCAGACTAAGATTTGCTGTAGCACTTAATTCTTGTTAACAGTGTAAAGCCAATCACGTTGTACTTTTGTGTGCCAGAAGGAACCTTCATCTAGCCTATTTTCTGATTAGGCCAATGAATATCACCCAGGCCTAGAAGAAGCTCTCACTCCATAGCAGAACTGCAAAATATTTTCTGAAAAGTCATCTGATCTTCAAATAAAAAAAAAACCTGAGCAGCAGTGATACCAGGACATCCTGTGCTACACTGCTCCTACACTTTCTTGACTGTAGCTTAGAATTCAGGCTGTTTTGTAGCCTGTATTTACTTAGCTTCAGTTTCCAGGCCCTGGATGTTGTGGTCACATCATGCTTAAAAACAGCCTTCTCTCTTTGTGGGATGTTTCTCCCACCTGCCTCCCATGTGAGTGCTTTAGGCCACTATGTTTAAATAGGTATTATTCTATTAGTACATCAGAGTTACTAAGTGAGCATTAAGCTGACACCTAGTCAACCTAAAAATTTGCTAGAGGTACTTACAGGAGCTACATTTGCTTTGAAACTCCTCTTTAGCTCCAAAGGGGTTGTTTTCACTGCTGTATAAACTGAGGTACACAGTTAGCATAACTTGCAAAAGAACATACCTTAAGGAGTGTATCTTGCTGTATATCCTATGGTATTTCATCTAAATTTTTAATGTGAATACTGTTTAGATAAAGCACATGTGATTGTGAGTAAGAATGCTGTAATTCTTTTCCCAAGTGGCAATTTCTGACAAAAATATTGGTTTAGTGGTGCTGAAACTCCATATATATAGTTCCTGAGATGCAAAAACCTTTTATTGATACTTTCTGCATCAAACCTTGCTTGCTATCCATCAGGTGTTGAAATTACACATTGATTACACCTTACATGTGGGGTCACTTTCAAAACCAAGTTTTTTAACCAGCTTTTTATTTCTTTGAAGAGTTCCACCATTAGATTATTCTCAGGCATACACACCTCAAACTAGTCTCATCTAGACTTGTTTTTCCCCCACATCACCGCTTACAAAGGTCAAGAAAAAAAAAACAACCAACGGGCAGGTTTCCATTGGAGATGGAAACCTAGAGCAATACTCTCTCTACTCCACACCGGCTCCCAGGGAAGAGCGCAGTTATCATCCCAGCCAGCTCGACAAGGCTGAGGATGACTTGTGCGCTAGAAGGAGGGACAACCAGCCGCGGCCAGCAGCTGGGACACAGCTGCTCTGACAGCCGCCTCCCAGCACCCCTGCCAGCCGAGC